GTGTGTGTGTGTGTGTGTGTGTGTGTGTGTGTGTGTGTGTGTGTCTGTGTATTTGTTTGTTTGTCCTTCAAAGCATGATACAAAACAGTATTGTCTCGTAGTTTTTTTCTCATTATCAACTAACGAATACATATCTCAAAGAACTTGCCTTCTACAACAAGAGACTTAGGAAAATATCAGAACTATTTTTATACACTCATAAGAAAACGTGTACTCCCAATGCTTGCGGTGTACAGCGACAAACGAACAATCCGTACAGTCACAACAACGGTAACTCCGTGTACACGCACCATTCTGAGAGACGACATTCTGTGCGCGCAGCTTGTGCCAGTCAGGAAAGTACGTGTACGCCTGCTTGACTGCCGAGGCGTTGTATGTCGAGTCTGCGATGAGGATAGATAGACAGACATATGGACACAGGGTGAGTGTGCAATGAGGTGTATAAAACAGACATAGTATACAGTGGTGTAAGTGACTTACTATATCAGTTACAGTGGTGTAAGTGACTTCCTATATCAGGTACAGTGGTGTGAGTGACTTACTATATCAGGTACAGTGGTGTACGTGACTTACTATATCAGGAACAGTGGTGCATGAGACTTACTATATCAGTTACAGTGTTGTTAGTTCAATCTATGCCCACAGAAGAAATTTTGGAGCACATTCGCCTAATCTTTTGCACGGAATTTGTCACGAATCAGTGTCATAATAGGTGTCATAATGTGTCACAAGTCAGTGTCATAATAGGTGTCATAATGTGTCACAAGTCAGTGTCATCATAGGTGTCATAATGTGTCACAAGTCAGTGTCATAATAGATGTCATAATGTGTCACAAGTCAGTGTCATCATAGGTGTCATAATGTGTCACAAGTCAGTGACATCATAGGTGTCATCATAGGTGTCATAATAGGTGTCATAATGTGTCACAAGTCTGTCATAATAGGTGTCCTGATGCGATAAAAGGGTTCGCATGTCAAATTGCCAAATTTGTCACGTGGTTCACTGGGCAAAGCCGCGCAATTGTGGTCCCTTATTAAGCATTGTACATCTTTTAAGCGTTTTGTTTCCCGTTTTGTGTCCCGTTTTGTGTCCCGTTTTGCGTTCCCTTTTGTGTCCCGTTTTATATCCCGTTTGGTGTCCCGATTTGTGTCCCGTTTGGTGTCCCGTTTTGTGTCCCGTTTTGTGTCCCGTTTTGTGTCCCGTTTTGCGTCCCGTTTTGTGTCCCGTTTTGTGTGCGCTTAAGGCTCAAGTGGACGTCACGCAAGTATAGACGATATACACACGCACACAAACACTCGTGTGCGTGCATGCTTTGTATTCCTAGAAGCAACACATCGCAATATGCACCGCTAATAGCCTTGGTCAAAGTGGCGTGGATGAGTGTGTAGAGACAGTACAGAAAGGTGGGAGATACGTGTGTGTGGTTGTTTGCCTGCACAAAGTCACCACCTGTATATACGTAATGTAGCCACCACATGTATATACGTAATGTAGCCGCCACATGTGTATACGTAATGTAGCCACCACATGTATATACGTAATATAGCCACCACATGTGTATACGTAATATAGCCACCACATGTGTATACGTAATGTAGCCACCACATGTATATACGTAATGTAGCCACCACATGTATATACGTAATATAGCCACCACATGTGTATACGTAATATAGCCACCACATGTGTATACGTAATGTAGCCACCACATGTATATACGTAATGTAGCCACCACATGTATATACGTAATATAGCCACCAAGACGTACGTATAAGGATATGTGAGAAAGCACAGACATAGGCACACACCATAGTAGCAGTAGGCGCCTCCGTAAACAGTCGCCGTTGTGTACCATTCTGAGGACACACTGTGCGCTATCGGTTGGCATACAGTGCTCTCGGACGATGTGTTGAACCCCTGGTGTATGTTGTGTGTACGAGAGATGTGATTGATTTGAAGTGCTTGAATGATATACAGATGCATATTTGTAAGTATATATATATATATATATATAAATATATGTGTGTGTGTGTATAGATCTAT